AAGAAGCCTGTGATCTCCCAAGCCAAGGGCCTCGGTAAAATCAATAAAACCCCGTCCTATCAGGCCACCAGCCAGATCGTTTTCCACCTTTTAACAAGGCAGTGGTTATTAAATGCCTTGTTTGAAAACCCAAGTGGGGTCGTCAGACTTTCATGATGAAAATAATCCATCAATGGCACGTGCGCTATCTCCTCAGTGTCTTTGATATGAGTGATAAAGTCAGTAAAGGACTACAGGTTTTCAATATCTGAGCATGTTCTCCCTTCTCACATTGAGGCTCAAGCACAGCAAAGGGAATTTCATCACTGGACGTAGCTTGTTAAGAGATAAAGGGGTTTCACTCTATAATTTCAGTCAATGCGAAAGAAATGCTGTTGGTTCCGACTTTGAACGCAGAGCTCTAAGCTGCCAACACCACCTTCTGTCATTAGTTCAGCTAATCATTGGCCGGATTTTGAAATCCATGTATTGTGAAATGATAATTTTATTGTAAGGCTATCACTCTTTTGTAGGGGTTGGATGATTACCCTGAACTTATTTTCAAGATTGGAGACAGAAGCTCAAACAAATGAAGAGCTATCCATTGATATTGCATACGGTTCAATGCCAAACCACCGTGGGTGGCAGTGCAGGTCACACAGATCAGTCTGGCCCCAGTGGCAGCATGGCCCTTGGACACCTGCATGGCCCCAGGTGGTGGCCCAGATCCCAGACATCTGCATGGCCTTTGATGGTAACCGGAACCTAGGACGTCAACACAGACCCTGGCTGTAGTTGAGCCATGGATCCAGACATGGCCCTAAGCTGCAGTTGGGACCCAACGTCCCTGTGGCCCTGGGTAGCAGCACAGGCCACTAGGATCTGTATGACCCTGGCAGCAGCATGGCCCTAGGACAGCAACACTAAAACATGATTCTTTTTTTTTTCCATTTATTTTGTCTACCGATCAGTATCTGCTACCTCCTCTCCTTCTGTTCCTCCCCACACACCTCTTATCTACCCCTCCCCCATCCTCTCCTCCTTCTCTGTTCAGAAAAGAGCAGGCCTCCCATAGGAGTCAACAAATCATGGTATATTAAGCTGCGGCAGGACCAAGTTTCTCCCACTGCATCAAGACTCGGCAAGGCATTCCAGTATGAGGAATAGGTTCCCAAAAGCTAACTCAAGCACCAGGGACAGGTTTGAAAGTCACTGCTAGGAGCCCCACAGACAGGCCAAAATACACAACTGTCACCCACATGCAGAGGGTCTCAGTCAAACCCACATAGGCTCCCTAACTGTAGGTTCAGGGTGGGTTAGCTTCTGAGAGCTCAGATCAGCTGATTCTGTGGGCTTCCCTGTCATGACCTGAAACCCCCCCCCCCCGGCTCATACAATCCAATTCCCTTTCTTCAACACGACTCCCAGAGCTTAAAGCCATATTTTATCAATGTACTTCCTATCTCACAGATTGCTTTCAGTATTCATCATTCTAAAGGCTCAGATAGCATGAAAAGAGATGCAAGGGGAATCAGTCAGAGGGAAAGGGGAGAGGGGCCTCCTGCCACCAGAGACCCCTATAAACACCGAGATTCAGAGCAATCAGCATTAGAGATGCTGCTGGCGTCACCACGTGCCTGCTGACAGACAGATAATTCTGCTAATATACTCACTGGAACTTGACAAATTGAAAAATCCATTCCCTGTATATTGTAATGGTTCAAGCAATGAAAATTTTATATCAGTATTGATAATGACATCCTTGGAACAAGAAAGACGTGGAGGCTGGAAGCGCATTGAATTAAAAAGAAATCACGTCAGGCATTGGAATCTGGAACGCGTGATTCCTGTCTTAAGCAGTGTTTTAGTTGCTCATCTTCATTAAGTTTTATTTGACAATAAACAATATATAGATGTGCAATATTAGTAAAATAAAAGAGGCAAAATACCCTTGATCCCAAAGACACAACCACCAATAAGCTGTTTGTCTTGTATGCCAACCCATGAGTGTTATTAATGCAGATTCGCAGCTCAGTGGGCATCACAAAACTGGAGCCAGCCCTGGAAAGGGCTGTGAAGGAAACCTGTTCCATGACTCTCACTGCACTAGGTTACTGTGGAAGTTCTCCCAAGCACATCAGAGAAGGACTACTCTGTCAGACCGGTTCTCATTGTCTTCACAAGTAGCAAGACAGCATTGACTGACAGGTTAGAGCGGTTCTTATAACCTGGCTGGCAGGTTCTTATGTTGCTTGCTTACTCTTATTGTTGCTGTGATTTAAAAAGTACCTGGGAAAAGCAACATAAGGATAGTTTTCTTTGCCTCGCACTTGGAGGATCCAGTTGGAGGTATTCGAGGAGATACAGCTGTAGTGGGTGAGGCATCTGCTCACATTGCATCTCTGGTCCAGAGCTCAAGAGGCAGATGCTGGTACTCACCTACTTTCCCCTTCCTACTCAGTCCTGAAATCCCACATAGACTGGTGTCGACCACATTCTGTGGTGGTGATGTTGCCACAATAAACGTCATCTATAAACATCTTCACGGACTTGCCCAGCAGTTCGACTATGTCCTTCTACTTCTTATCACGTTGGAAATTAGTATCATCCTTCAAGATTCCCTACACAGCCACTGTGCTCCAGGTTTGAGGGGATGCAGGCAATAGTTTCTGGGGTGGAAAACTAAATGGAAAAATGAAAAAAGAGTAGAAGATTTTGCTAAAAGGATTTATAGAAAGAGAATAAAGACATTTTAGGGGAAAATACCAGCCTACAAATAGCCCCTAATGGTGTGTGTCTCCTAGTATTAGCATACATACGTAGATCTTCACCCATCAAGTCAAAGTTGGCTGTTTGAAGACAGTGAGGGAAGCTGGGTGATACCATGGGTGATGTCGAGGCCGGTTCATCAGAGGTGTTGCTGGTTCAGCCTTGATCCTTGTGTCTCTCAGCACGGAGGAAAGCAGCCACCATGTTAAGCGACACTCAAAAGTCGCACAGAGAGCAGCAGCAGCATTCGGTTTGGCCTTGCCCCAAGTGGCAAACCATGTAAATGATCTATCTCCTAAGTAAATCTTCCTGCATAAACTGTGGCTTCAGATAACTACAGTATTAGACAGCATCCTACAGCAGCTGAAGAGGAGACCCTAAGCCAGAACTGCCTCGTTAGACATTTCCGAATTGGGAACTGGAGACATGCCTCAGTAGTGAAAGCCCTTGCTGCTCTTTCCCAGGACTCAGATTGAATCCCCAGCCCTTGGGTCAGGTGGCACACAATGGCCTGTAACTCCAGCTCCAAGGGACTTCTTTTTTTATTCTTCTTCTTCACAAATGTTAGCGTCATGCTTGTGCAGGAGCATCTTCTTTGTACTGTTCCAATTTTAGACTATGTGTTGCCAATGTGAGCATGAGCTCAAGGGGATTTGGTGCTCTCCTGGCCTGTTCAGGCACCTGCACGTGCGCGCGCGCACACACACACACACACACACACACACACACTCAAAATCTTAGAACTACTAATTCTCTTGTCCACAGATATTAGGCAAGAGAATAAGCCATTGTTGTTTTTCATTTGTTCAACTATGTTTCGAGGAGCCGTGTTACATGGCCCCTCTAACTATATATTCAAATAGATGGTGTGAGTTATATGTTTGACCTACAAGGCGACCGCCTTGTAGTTGTGGAGTTGCTAGGGGTGGAATTAGGCAGGTCTGGGTTTGAATCCTATGTAAGGTATTTCCCCAGTTATGTTCCTTTCTAAATCTGTTTCCTCCTCCGCTGGATAGTAATACATGTGCTCGTCTGTTACTTTCCCCAGGATCACACATCACGGGAACACATAACACGAGACCCATGTGTGATGGAGGAAGGTCATTGAGCAATAAAGAAACTGCTTGGCTGGCCCTGATAGGTTAAAGCATAGGTGGGAGGAGTAAACAGAATAGAATTCTGGGAGGAAGAGGAAGTGAGGTCAGACTCTGCTCTGCTCCTGGAGAGACTCTACAGCTCTGCTCTCTGGAGAAGAGACGCCAGGCTCAGCTCTCCCAGGCAGCTCCGACCCAGGATGGACGGAGGCTAGAATCTTCCCGGTAAGCGCACCTTGGGGTGCTTACACAGATGATTAGAAATGGGCTAGTCCAGGTGCGAGAGTTAGCCAAGAAGAGGCTAGATAGAAATGGGCCAAGCGGTCTTTAAATTAATACAGTTTGTGTGTTGTTATTTCAGGAATAAGCTAGCCAAGCAGCCGGGGTGCTGGGGATGCAGCCCCGCAGCTCCTATTTCAACACCATGTGCAAATCCTAAACTCCTGAGAGATGTAATACACGTGCACCTGCTTGTGAGTGAGTGGGGGGGTATGTGTGTACTCCCGTGCTTATTTATCTGTACCCCCTTACACTAAGCACTGGCTCAGTTAGCTGCTGGGAGAGACAGACGCTTTGCCTGTGCTCCCCTATGAATAAAATGCCTCGCTTGATGTCACCTGGGATCACACATTTCAAAGCCCCTCGGCTGAGGCTGGGGAAGTGGCTCAGTAGTGGAGTGTTCACTTAGCACAAGCTGTGTGAGGTCCTGGGTTCAATTCCCAACATCACGAAACTAAAATTTGCAAAACAATAAGAATTTCCCTATATTCGGAAGAACTGCTCCAACACAAGTGCTGTGTGATGAGACCGCTGGAAACCGCTGGAAACCGCTGGAAACAGCTAAGCGGTGAGCGGATGCTTCATCTGAAGGACTGGGAAGAGCAAGGGATTGCTAGGTGGTTAGGAGGGAAGCTGAGGCTTGGGGCGTGGTGCTGCCTGTGGGAAGCAGGCTGCACAGATGTGTCTGTTTCCAGGTCAGTTCCTGTGCGGTCTTCAGGAACAGAGGCTGGATTTTGAAAGACTGGATTGGAAAGACTGGGAGAAAAAGGAAAAGGAAAAGAAAGGAAATGAAAAGAAAAAGAAAGAACTTTATTCAGCTAGCCGACTGTCTGAAGATCTAAAACCTTCACAGGGCACAGGTGAAGGCATCAAGCGTCTGCTGATTTGAACCCTCTCGTTGCACTGCCGTAGCCTTTCTTGGCTCTCTGGGCTCCTGTGGTGTCGAGCAGTCGTGTGGACCTCGGCTATTATCATTCCACAGCCTCACTCTCCATTTTTGCCAATTCCAATTTGTTCTGAGCCCTGCAATAAATGAAATAAATAATAAATGAAAAGGCCAGAGGCAACAGTACCATCACCCTGCCAACCCAGGGGAGAAGCCACAGAGGTTGCAGGGCATCACCGCGCAGAAGATGGAAAACCGTGTCTCATGGGCCCAATTACCTACTGTAGCTGCTGAGATGAGAGGCGGTATGACTGTGACAAGGCTATCCTGGAAATAGTAGCCGATGATATAAGTTTAGATCTATTACACACACACACACACACACACACACACACACACACACACACAAAACCTTGAATCCAAAAGAGTCCAACTTAGAAAAACAAAAGAAATTGAATAACTCTGGGTTGCGCCCCTGCACACTGCACTCTCCCCATAGAAATGGGTATTTGCTATTCAGTAGTTACTACATTTTCTGAAATATTTAACTGGTAATTTTATTTAAAAAAAAAACTAAGACTATAAAATTTTGTATTTTAGATTCTTAAGGGCATACCACATAATTTAAATGAGATCATAGGCACAAGACCAAACTTAAAAGTCCGGCTTTCAGATCCATTGCAATATAATACATAATTGATGTATTCAATTGGTTATGACCACGGCGAAAGAGCGTGCAAGGTTAAGCTCAGGAGACTGGGATCAAGGTTTAGTTACCTCAAAATAACACCCTCCAAGGTCACATACCGAAATGAAAAGGGTGAAGGTCAAAGGGCAGCGTTGAATGAAATGGGACATAAATGAAGGAAACGAGAAATTCAGAGTGTGAACTCACACCACTGGCTCCACGGAGGAGCATCAAAAGGAAATTCAGGAAACCCTGAGAGCGCCCAGAAAACAGGGTTCCCACGCCTGAGCTACAAGAGGAGCCAGTTAGCGAATAAAGTCTAGAGAATTAGGTTTCTGCACAGTGAAGACATTTAAAGTGGCTCGCTTTTGTTTTTTAGTTCTGCCAGAACAGTTCAGTAGAGGTGAGTTTTCAGGATGAATCTATCCATATTGGTATTTGTACATGATTAGCCTCTAATGCATATCCTGTACATTATGAAGCACAATCTAAAGTCAGATTCTAGAGAGTAACAATGAGTAAGTATGGTTAGACATTCCTTAATAGTCCTCCTGAGATCTTAACACTGGTGACCACAATACTATCAAGATTTAGAGACAAGGAAAAAGTTTACAGAAATAGAACTGGAACCAAGTGTTGTGAGCATACTTGCAATGCCAGAACTCTGGAGGACAGGGCAGGAGGATCAAAATTCTGAGACCAGCCTGAATTACGTATCTCAAAAGATAGAGAGATGGAAAGAAAAGGAAAGGAAAGGAACAGAAGGAGATGGGAGGGGGAGAGTAGAGGTAATGGGGGAGGGGAAGGGGGGACAGGGCACTGGGACCTACAAACATTTCATCATGGCCTGTCCACCTGATGCTCAAGAAAGCAGCGCATGGGTAGTAAAGGTTTTTCTTAATTGTCCCCAGACTCCCAACAATATCTAACTGTTCTTGCAGTTGTCAAAGACTACACTGTACCCACAAAGGACCACCATTCTCCCTCACTCCCCTGCTCTTTGGACCAATAGTGACACCAAGATTGTATCACAGTCTGTTTCTCCATGGGGTAGTGGCACTCAGAGTGGAAGACCGTAGGAAGAGTAATTACTTAAAACTCCAGTTAATTTTGGTTTGTGAGATTTTTTTTAATTTATCTGTAAGATTTTTATAACAAAATTTTGTAATATTGGAAATGCAAATATCCTCACCATAAAGTTTCCTCTGTGGTCGGATGGCTATTGGAATTCTGCATCTTGTAAGCAGTAGGATGACGGGTGATTGACAGCTACCAAAGAGTCAAAGATTCTCAATCAGAATCTTAGGACTCCGTGGAACAGTCTCCCCCGTTCTTCTAAAGAAGGCACAGCAGAGGAAGCAGACTGGGGAGACTGTGTCTCCAAACCAGCCTGGGTAGAAAGGCAAAGAGACGAGGGACAGTAGGTTGTGCTGCAGCTATACCAAGATTGGAAGACACTCCCTGAAGCATCATTTAGGGTGATCTTCAGCCATCAAAATGATGATAACCCCTAAGGACCCTATGCTCAGCTCCAACCCCTATGACAGTGTCCTTGACAGAACCAACCAGTGTTCAGGAAGTGCACTGGGTGGGGAGCCAGAGGGCAGTCTTGGGAGAGTGGGAAGAGGTAAAACTCAGGCGAGGGTGCAGTGCCCTGTGAGACTTGGGGAGGAGTCAAGATTGGGGGGGATGACAGGGCACCGGTGTTTTGGTGTGCAATTAGAGGTCCACATGGGGCCTGGCCAATGTAGCAATGCTCTTATGAGCAGATGCAATTCACTCAGCCCAGGAGCCACTAAAAGTGTTTTAAACGGGGTAACTAAGTGCAGTGGACAGAGCTTAAGGAAACTAATCTCATAGCGCTGAATAACGGATTGGAGGCATGGGGATTTAAGTATAAGAAACCAGTTCGATAATTATAGGCTCAATAATTTACTAATTTTGATACCTTATTAAGACATTTGAAAGGCCCCAGGCAGTGAGAAGCCTAGTAATAGGCTTAAAAAGGAAATTCTCAGGTATGAGTGCACAGAGAGATATACGGCCGCCTATTCGCAGATTAATGCATGTTAACAGCCATCAGAGCCTTCACAAAACACTGCATTCGTGACATAGTTTTGACCTGCACTCCCAAACATTGTTCCCACTCCCTCTAGATATCTCATCCATTATGGCCAAAGACATAAATCATGGGCTTTTTTTAAACCAATTTTAATTTTGCATATACAAAAAACTCATTTTGATGTTACTTTTGTTTAAAAAAAAAACAGAAGTATGGCCATGTATTTTTGTCTAGAAAAAGAAGAGAATGCTAAAAAATAAATGTAATATATCCTGCCTCACCTTCTTGACCTTTACTACATATGAAATACCTATTTTTCCCATTAGAATGTAAGGTTTTTGCAGGCAAACAGGACTGTTTTGCTTATTATGCAGGGGTTGCTCCTGAAATGTTCCTGGCTGAGTAAATTGTTCAGTTCTATGTAAATGTCACAGATAAATAGACACAACTCATCAATGGGATCAGCTGTTTAAAAACCACACCCTTCAACCAATCAAATACAGGCCTCCCAGAACCAAGGCTAATCCCCTCATTCCTTCCTTGCACGCTGGGAGGAGCCCTGTGCCGAACATTCATACAAACATGATCCCCTCGAGTTACCTGTGTGTACCCTTGGTCAATCTGGGTTATTGCACACGTGTGCTCCATGAATAACCTCCTCTGAGAACTGAATGGTGTTTGTTTTTATGATCTGTTTCATGCACACTCAATGGAGTGTGTTTGTACAACACCCTTTCTCTACATCTGAAGAGGCACCCTAACTTGTAGATTTTGAAAATAGCGCTCTTCAGTAACCCAAAAAGCATGTGCTACACAGTTTAGAGAAAAGACAGAGGGCGGCAAACAAGGGGAGCCTGGATGGATGGGGACACACATCACATAATAGATGATAATTACACTGGCGTGGACTAGCTGCTCTAATAAGCAGCCTCACACTTCAGTGACTCTGCATGACACAAGCAGAAGTCTTGCTCACCAATGGGAAATCCAGTCCAGGTGTCCTGTGTTAAACAGTCGTCCCAAGGAATTCTTCTCTGTGCTGCCCCAGCGACTCAAGGTCCTTCCATCTCCTGAACGGAACTTCAACGTGGAACCTCCACTTACATCCCCAGGGAAGGGAGACAAGAGAGGAAACGATTGAGTGGAGATTTTTACAGGCCAACAGTAGACATCAGAAAGGGCAGCAGGGGATAGAAAGGAAACACAGAAGGCAAAGGGAGCAGGTCTGGAAAATAGAGCATGGTCTCTTCCGCTAAATGGACCAAGTCTCTGTTTATCTCCTAATCAGTCCTTCCTTCCCAGTGATACTGAAGCCGAAAACAGCACAGACCAAGAGGCAGGATAGTACAGGAGGAAGCTAATACTATTGCTTTATATTAATTATACTGGGTTGAAGTGTGTGTGTGTGTGTGTGTGCGTGTTGTGTGTGTGTGATTTTCTATCAAATCCCTGGAAATGTTCTCCCAATCTGAGACTGTCTCATGAACTCCAGCACTGATTTCTTCTGGCAGCCATTCACAATCAGGCTGACGTATTTTAAATGGTTATTTTCACAAGAGCCTTCCATTTTCTTCATTCTAGTAGAGATGACCTTTATAAAAACCTAAGGCCTAATCATTTTAGTTAATTCAAAGCAGGTGAAAAGTATCTTATAGGAAGTCATTTGTTATGCACAAGATCAAGCTGAAATGTCACTCCCCTCTGTAACTCTCTCTCTCCTTGAGACTTCCTATCCCAGGTATAATTAATTGGCCCTCACCTATGTGTTCACAGCATTTTATAGATACTTGATTTGAGAATGAATCACATTTTAGTGTAGTTATTTGCTTACATGTTTGTCTTCTTTTAGTCTTGAGTTTTTCTGGGCTGAGGAAATACGCATCTTCAGGGCTGTTCCAAAACAACCCAGTTCCACTCTATGAGAGCCAGCTCAAGGTTCACGAGACATAGGAAGGAAGCAGACAGATCCAGGACAGCAAGTATTGAGGACTTACAAAATTGTGGTCCTGGGTATCATCAAAATACTTTAAGTGAGAAACAGGGATGTATATGATGGTCAGGACAGCACTGACTTCATCTAAGCTGAAACACAGCCAGTTTATCTCAAGCTGATATCAGGGCTGCCTGGCGTGTTCCCCTCTTGTTGAGTAGATCTTAAGTCTGATTAGAGAGTTACTGGTTTCCATCAAGATGCCACTGTACCCTTAGGGTTAACATGCCACGCTGGTCATTGATGCAGTTAATGGGCATCATATCTTGGTTGCATCCCTCCTTTGCAAGCTTACATTGAGAATAGGGGGAAAAGACTGTAAAAGCCAGTGGACCAGGGAGTTTGCAATGAGACTGTGTCTCCTGTTAATGCCAAAGCTAAGTCTCACTAACATGACTGCCCAAATATGAATGAATACAGACGACACCAATGGACGTGACGAAGTGGACATGGGAAAGCTCCTGAAACCTAAACCATGCACAGAAGATTGCAGGCAGCTGAGGAAAGCTGGAAGCAGGAAAGATAGCTTCCCCTTGGAAGAACACACCACTTGGTTGTTCAGTGACAAATGGCCAAGCCAGGAAACATACGTACAAGTAACATTATACAACCCGAGCAGGCTATGTGTAATATATATATATAATATTCATATATAGTATATGTGAATGCAATAACAATGAGTGAAATAAGATGTTACAGTTTTGAAAGAGAGCAAGGAAGGGTATATGGGAAGTTCAGAGGGATAAAATAGAATGGAGAAATATAAGTATTTTATAGTCACAGAAAGATTCAGCTTGCTTTCTTTTTATTTACTTTCTGCTGTTTATAGTAGATTAGAAAACAAACTAATTAACTGAATGAGCCAAAGAAAAGACCAAATCTGGACAGAAAGGATCACAGAAAGTCCCACATAGAGACAACTGCAAACAAGGTCCAGCAGGCTGGCCTATACTACGCTCGAGAAAAGGAGACGACAGACCTGGCTCCGAGCTTGCTAAGACTCAAGGCAGAAAGGGGGCTCAGCTACGCATCAAGGTCTTAGGCCTTAGGTCTTTATGAAGAAAGTAGAAGGCTCTTGTGAAAGTAACCATTTAAAATACCTGGTTTTGAATGGTTACCAGAACAAATCACTGCTAAAGTTCACGAGAAAGTCTCAGACAAAAGAAATTTCCAGGGGGTTGACAGAAAATAGGGGACACACACACACACACACCAAACTGTTTCCTTACAACAATGGCAGTTTATTTCTGTGTTTCAAGGTTTTATTTGTTTTGCATCAGCCCAGTGGTTCTGTGTCAAACAAGTCCTATAGCCACAGACTCTTTCCTGGATTGTTCACATAGGAAGCCAGGAACTATGAGTTCCGAGTGCAGGGCGTAGGGTGAAGAGTCGTAGAAAATAAGGGATTCCACTCAAGTGGCCATCTCTCATCCCCTCTCTTCTTGGATGTCACCACCCCAGAAGGGAAGCAAGTGAGCCCTAGATGTCCTTTATGAGGCAAGAACAGGACTCTGGAATGATAGAGGAAAACAAGCAGGGCAGAGAAAGTGGAAGCAGAAACTTCTGATCAGGCTCTACAGAGAGGAGCTGTGTGGTGGAACCATTGAAAGGGCATAGGGTTTAAACTGGTCTATATCTATTGTACACTTATGGGTAGTGTGCTTCTTATGGATATTTCACCCCAGTATATAATGTAATTTGGGCACCCCCAAACTTCTATACCTTCTTATGCTGCCCCCCAGTACCGAGGGGGTGCAGAAGACCTTGAACTGGATTCAGGTCTGTGTGACATGTGAGGGGCGCGTCTACAATAGCCTTGGAGTAGAGACAAGGCAGTGGTGTGTGGAAAGCAAAGATCTTCCTTCTCTAGACTTGGAGCTAAGCACAGACTACGCCCTTGGTCTCTCCACACGTACTGTGACTTGGGCAGATCCCGGAGCAAATTGCTGTATTCACCGAGACTCTGCTCCCATCAGAGCCTGTGTTAGGCAGGTTCCTCACACTAGGTATTTACTTCTCATGAGAATATGGCCATTCCCTTTCCACAGTGACACTGTAAACAACAGGTAAAGTGACGGACCCAGGACACTTCAACAGTCAGGGGGAAAACCAAGATTAAATCCCATGCTGTCTAAAAGTAATGGCCATATTTCTTCCTCTAAGTACATAATCAGGTGTCTTTTCTGGATACTGAAGAAAAAAACATAAATGTGGATCTAAAAATAGCTGCAGGAATTTCCCAGCACTAGAATTCTCCACTCTACTTAATAATGAAGCGGTATTAAGCGATCTACCGTTAGAGAGAATGCACTTGACCCTCTGTGCGCAGGGTTTTAATCTGTGTAGATGATAATGTACATAAATTGGATAGTCATTCTCATCATCTCAAAAGAAACCATTTAGAGTAAAAAACATGCCTCTAAACATATTGAATTATTCTCCATATTATTGTAAATCAGTCCTTTTTGGAACATATAGATTCTATTTCTAATACATACACATCGATTTAAAAATTAAAGATGATATAGTATTCTGACAAAGATGCCCACTATTTGAAAAAAAATCACAGTCAGGATGTCTGGAGACTCCCAAACATTCCTGGATTCACATGCCCTTCTCTGAGCCAATGTGGAACACAGCCATTACCTCAACCTACACTCACTAGCTCCTAGCAGCAAAAGCATCACGTCAACAGTCCTACATGCTGGCACCCTCCGACCCCTCACACAGGCAAGCAGACACCATGCCTTCACCCCCCGTCTTAAGTACTGTGCATTTTGATGATGTACAATTGATTCAGTTCCTCTGAACTTCCTCTAACTATCTGAACCACTTAGAATCATTAAGATGCTCTCAGAAGGCGGGGAATGTATCCCTCAAGTCTGCTGAAAGTTGCTTCTGCCTCACCCTGCCTGGGTGCCAACTTAGTGTTCATTACCGTAAATTACTAACACTGGGAATGGTGAACCATGAAGATGAATTGCGGAGAGCTCATCCAAGAGGAGACGCCAGCGAATCAGTGAAGTGTGCCAGGTGTTACCGTAGGAAAGTAAAACCCAGGAGTTCTGCAAATGTCCATCTTCTGCACCAACAGTCATATTGCTCTGAGGAAATACAGAGAGGGATTTCTTGAGATAAAGACCCCCACTTTCAACTCGTCAGATGCAGCCGCTCGTCTCTGACACGTGGCTCAGTTCAAACCTGAGGCAGCACAGGGTAGCAAGGACAGCAGAGGGTACAGACTGAGGGATAGGCAGAAACTGGGTGTCTTAGCTAGGGCTTAGTATTGCCGTAAAGGGACACCATGACCCCGACCTCTCTTTTAAGGAAGACATTTCTTTGTGGGGGCTCACTTACAGTTCCGTAGGCTCAGTGTGCTATGACCGTGAAGGGGAGCGCGGCAGCGCACAGACAGGCGTGGGAATGCTTTGACTTTGTGGCAGCAGTGAGTGAAGCTTGAGAAAAGAGACCTCAGAGCCCACCCCACAGTGACACACTTCCTCCAAGGCCACACCTCCTAATAATGACCTCTTGTTAGGGGCCATTTTCTCAAACTACCCACGCTTGGTAAGATGGACCCAAGTCTATTGCCTTGAGCTTCTTTTGTCAGGTAGATTAGATAGATAGCCAGAAACTCTGCAAGGCAGAATGAATCAGGGGACAAATAAAAGTCTGGCAGTATTACTGTATCATCTTTTTCTCCTTCCCCACCTCTTTCTGTATGTCTGTGCTATTACATTTGGAAGCCAGAGTAAACATGGTGTCTTTCTCAATTGATGTCTACTTTATTGTTCTGATAGATAGTCTCTCATTGAACCTGAAGTGCACAGATTTGTCTAGACTGTCTGGCTAGCATGCCCTCGGGACCCACTTGTCTGTGTCTCCCCAGTATTGTGATTGCAGGTGTATCTCCTACTTCCTGGATTTTTAAGTAGGTGCTGGGACTTGAACTTGTTTTTTTTATGCTTCTGTGGCAAACACTTTACTGACTGAGCCGTCTCTCCTGTCCCCTTCAACCATACTTTTCTTCTTGAGGAAAATCAGGACTTGGAGTGGTTTTAAGCCATGTCTATGAAAGCTGGTATATCCTTAGCATATGACAGATAAATGACAAAGAATTTGAACACAATAGATTTTTTGTATTATTTGTCAAAACTATGCTACTATTTTTAAATAATAATAATTCACAACAGAACAAGAACCCAAGTACAGTGAAATCATTCTTAACTTCAGCATGTCATGACTGACTCAAGGTTAAAGACATGAAGGAAGGGCACAAGCATGAAGGATGTCCTCTGAAGTCAGTATTTCCCCAGCCTGTTTGATAATCTGGTACACTGCTCACAGAAATAGATTAATAAAGTATATGAAAAGGAGAGGGGACCTCTTATTATACAGAGTGTGAATCAAGGCTCAAGTTTCTAGACGTATGGATGTTGTATGTATGAGTGTTTATTTTACATATATGTCCACGCACCACTGCGGAGGTAAGAAGAGGGCACCAGACTTCAGAACTGGGCCTTTGAATGCTTGTATATCATTGTGTGGATACTGGGAGTTGAATCCCGATCTTCTGTAAGAACAACAATTGTTGAAGGCTGAACTTTTAACCCAAACTTATTGTGATGAAGGAAGACCGTTTATGTGGTTTCATTTCTCTCCCTTTAGGGCTTTGAAGACAAAAGGAGTTTGTTAAAATGAGAAGAGTTCAAACTCTACTGACCTTCAGAAATCCAGTAGAAATAGGGTCTACAAATTTATAAAAAGTAAGTCACAAAATACAGGGGGAAAAAAACAGGCAATGAAAACAATCAATACATGTTATTCAAACCCGAGAATCAATTAATTAGAATAATAGCAATAACAACCATTAAGTACCTGAATTTGAGGATGGTTTTATTGTCTCCCAAAATGGAAAATAAAACTAGAGTGATTCATAATTTATGCCTTGCAACTAATGAGACACACCGAATTACTTTGCAGCCCATTCATTTACTTATTACTTAGTGAGGGCGCGAGATTTTTGAGGCATGGTAATATACCAGAGTTTTTAATAGGGTAAAGAGGTCCCCAAAGTTCAATGAGACAGAGATTTTTTTCCCTGTGCAGCTCAAAACCTGGGCAATGGAGGCAAGCAGATAGTACCATTGCTATGATGAGCAGACCTGGGCTTAACAC